TAAATATATTCACATTCACAATTAAGAATTTGTGTTATTAATAATTGTAAAATAAGTATTTATCAAAAAGAAGCATCAGAACAATATGAATTAGAAGCAATATTAGGTGATTCTTCTAATGATATTGTTATTTGTGAACAAAGATCAGGATATATTGATGTTTTAATTGGAAAGAAAAATGTTCTTGAGTGGTGGGTACCATCAACAATTGCAAATATTAGAACATATAATTCTGGATATGAACTATTAGATTCTATTCAATTTAGTGAAAAAATAGGAGCAATAGGAATAACAAAAGAAGGTACTACTATTGTTGCAATAGGAAAAAAAATTCTTGTTTATAGTAAATGGGAACAAAATATTCAAAGAATTGTTCAATGTATTGAACCTCAACAAAGTTATTCATTATATCATCCAAGATGTTTATTACAATTATTATTTGCTGGTTCATTTAAACAAGTTGAAATTATATTATCAGTTTATTTAGAAGTTATGAAAAATTCACAACCATTTCCATTAATTTATGATGATGTTTATGAAATATATAATTCAAATGATATTTATCAAAAAGAACCACAACAATTATATTCAGAAATTATTGAACTATTACAACAAATTAGAGATACTTCAATAACTACATCTGAACAAGCCTGTATTGCTGCTATTTGTGAAGCACTAAAAATAATTAATTCAATGGAAGGACTTGATGAATGTGGAAAGAATTATTTTATTTCATTTAAATTAGATTGTTTATTAAATAAAATTTGTGGAAAAATTATGACACCAATTGATTTTATTTGGGCATATCATTCAGAAGCAAAAGAATCATTAAAAAGAGAATTAGAAATAATACAAGTTGATTTAAATGGTGCAATTGAAAGAGGAATTGGATATTGGATGTTAAATAAAACAGAATTATTAAAAGATATGTTATCAAATATAGCAAAAATTGAATATATGAAAAAGAAAGATCCAAATGATGTTGCAATTATATATATATTATTAGGAAGAATTCCTGCACTTGCAGCATTATATCGATTAAATAAAGAAATGAAAATTAGTGATTTTTTAATGAAAGATTTTAATAATGAAAGAAATAAAATAGCAGCTATTAAAAATGCATATGTATTAAATAGTCAACATAAATATATTTTATCAATTGCATTCTTCTTAATTGGTGGAGCAATTACTGAAGCAATTCAAATTTCATTTGATAAATTAAATAATATTGGACTTGGTTTTATAATTGCAAAAATATGTAGTTTAAATTTTGAAACAACTTTAAGAAATGTTTTATTACCTGAAGTAATTAAAAGAAATGATATTGTTGGTCAATTCTTTTGTTATATTCAATTAAAAGAATATCAAAATGCTATTAAATCTTTAATATTAATGAAAGAAGAACCAACACTTTTTTATTTATTAGAATATTTTAAAAGTGATGGATTATTAAAACAAATGTATGGAGTTAATGAAATTGAACATTCTTCATTTGATTTTATGAAAAGAAATATTCATTTATATTTAAGAAATAGATGTTCTCCTCTTGCTTATCATTTTCTTGATGCTCAATTTGATCATACTTCAATTCATTCTAATTCAACAACACCAACAAAAAATGTTCCAATATCAAATACATCAAATGATGATTGGTTTGATGATTTTATGAGTAATAGTGCACCAATAATTGAAGAAAAGAAAAAAGAAATTTCAATTAATCAATGTTTCCCTAAATTAATTGGTGATTTAGATATTAATTCAATGAAAATTATTGCTCAAACAATTGCAGAACATTTGATTCATAGATTTGTATTACTTTCAAAATCATTTGAAAAAGATCCAATACTTCAAAATTTTGTAGTAAATAGAATAGTACCATTTTTAAATAATTTTGGTATTGAAAAAGAATCTGTTATTACTACATTTTATGATATTTGTACATTAACAGATTCTATTGATGTGTTATGTATTTCTTCTTGTCTTAATGAACAAGAAGTTAAAATTAATAATTCTCTTCAAGACTCTCCTTTTGTTTCTTCATTTGTTGATCAAGGAATAAATTATTCTACTTCAAAAAGACTTCAAAACGATGATATTAAAATTCCAATTCCAGTTAAACAACGAATTATTACTTCACCAAATCTTCTTCTTTCATCAGAACCAAAAACACCTTCAATTAAAAAACAAATTTTACCAAAATTATCAAATAGTGTTTCACCAAAAATGGCAACATCCAGTTGTCTTGGAATGCAATTTATTAAAAAGGCAGAAGAACCACTTTATTTATATTTAATTTCAAGAGTATTTCCACCAGTTCATTCATTAAATGCTTTATCTCATTTATATTCAGAAGCATATCATGTATTTGTTACTCATTTAAATAAACAATTACAAATTCCAAAAGAATTTGTTAGTTTAATGGTAATATTAATATTTGTTGTATCTGGAAGAATTAAAAATTATGATTTAGTTTTTAAATTAATTTCTACAAAAGATAGAACATTAAATGGTATTTGTTCTATTCTAAAAGAATGTATTAATGATGCACAAGAAGAAAATCAAGAAATGAGTGATTCTGAACAATTTGTAACTGGTTTATTAATCTTATTTACTATCCCATTAATTTCTGAATTACTTAAAGAAGTTGGATGTATAAAAACTGATTTAATGTTAAAAAAATGGAAAGAGAGTTTAATTAGTTATACAAGTTATTTAACTCCTACAAAACTTTTAGAAGAAGCACCAACAGAATTTTCATTTAGAATATTTTCTAAACAAGCAATTGAATATTCAGAAAATGCTTGTCAAAATAATAAATCAATGAAAATGTTATACAACTATATTAAAAATAATCGTGCTGATATCGTACGAAGTACAATGAATTTTGTTTTTAATTCTACTAGTCTTCCTTCATATGTTAAAGAAGTTGAACCACAAATTAATGTTCCTCAATCAAAAAATACTTTAATGATTGACACTCCTCCTGTTTATTCATATTGTTGTTCGTATGATAATAATTTTGTTATTTATTCAACTAAAGATGGAATAAAAAGATTAGCAAAATTTAAAGGAGTTCATAACGATATTCAATTTTGTTTTTATGGAATGCATCCTCAAACAAAAAGAGCAGTAAAAGTAACTCAATTTATTGGAAATTGTATGGATGCTAATCCTAATCATCCTTATTTTGTTGTTGGAACAGAAGATGGTTTAGTATTAATATTTAAATATTCTCAAGATGAAGCCATTCAACAAACAGCTATTCATAATAATATCTCCCCAAGTTTAAATGGAAATGGACCAAAAGGATTTGGAATTAAAAGTGTTAAATGGAATAATGCAGGAACTAAATTTATTGTTAGTGATGCAATGGGTTATGTCGCTGTTTATAGATTTACAGTAAATGAAATTACAATGATTTTTAGTGAACGTATATTTGATCATGGTGTAGATGCTTGTTTTATTGGTGAAAGTATGTTTTTTGTTGCAACTGGAAATAAAGGAATAAAAGGAGAAGTTGTTATTGGTAATTTATTAGAATCAAATACTATTGTTACTCGAACAGTTGTTGGTATTGTAAATGCTATGTGTCTTGTACAACGATTTGGAAGTGTTATTATATCAGATAATGATGGAATTAAATTTGTTGATTTACAAACTGGAAGAGTTTTTAATGAAAAAAAATATGAAAAAGGAGTTTGTGCAGTTGCAGTTGATACTTATTCACTTGTTTTATTTGTTGGATTATCTGATGGAAGAATATTAATGAGTCATCTTCCTGATTTAGAACAAAATGAAGAAATAGGAAAACATGAATATACCCCAAGAGGTGGAAAATTATTTAAACTTTTGACAAGCTCAAATTATCATGCAGTAAATAAATTAGGAGTTGTATGGTTAGATAAAAATTCACAACCAGAATTATATTCTTGCTCTAATGATGGAAGTTTGATTCAACGTTCTTTAATTTATTTCCAATAAACATAATTTTTTTCTTTCAATTTATTTATTTTGTTATTTTAAAATATTTAATAATTTGTATTAAACCATTAAAATAATAATAACCATAATTTTTTTTTATTTTTTTTAATTGTTTGGATTATCTTTTTTTTTTTATTTACTTAGTTATTGGCATTAAAGCATATACTATTCTTTCTTAAAAAAGAAAAGTTACAAAAATGTCATAGACTAACAATCATTCTACTATCCAACATTAATAGAATAATGTTTGGCTGTTAGGGATGAAAAAAATTTATTTTTTTATCGTTAACTAATTTTAAATAAAAAAAGTAAAACAAAAAAAAATAACATAAATATCAATCATTTACCCATTTGAACAATCAAAATTCTTTCTGCAGAAAATGGTGTTCCATCACCATTACAATATGATTTATTCATATTCTGATATACTTTATACAATGAATGATTGTAACTACAATTCTCTCCGATTGAAGCAATGTCAATCCACCCCTGATAAAAATTACCTATAGAAATAATAAATTCGTTTTTACTCCAAATTTTAATATCTCCACCATAACTTAGTAGATCAAAATCCTCTGTTTGTTCTTCATCTTCTTCATAATCTTTAGGGATCCATCTTGTTGTTGTTCTTTCATCATTTGATGGATATAAACAAAAGACAAAATGGTCGTTATCTTCAATAATATCAATATCATCTTCTTCTTTTTCTGATAACACTTTAATAGAATGAGAAATAAATCCACCAAATACATTATCATTATTATCAATAATAATGACATAGATATTTGGTTTTTTTTTAATTTTATCAAAAATCACTTCACAACTACTTCCATCAATAACACTATCATAAAGTATTCTCATTTTATTCATTTCAACCCATTCCATTAAATATTTTACATTATCTTTAACAGTTTCAACTTCATTTTCTTCAAACATTTTTTCATATTTTTTTAACATTCTTTCATTTAATACAAATTCTTCATCTTCTTCATCACTTTTTTCAGTTTTAATTAATACTTTATTTTTTACAATACAATCATCTTTTGGTTCTATTCTCGCTTCATTAATACTATTTGAGTTTAATCTTTTTAATTTTATTGGTTCTTCAAAGTCATTTTTTTTTCTTTTTATTCCACCTTCTCCCTTGAGAATAGAAACTTCCTTTCTTAATTCATTTAACCGTTCATCTTTCTCTTTTCTTCGTTCATTAATACATTCATTTATATAATTTAAATAATTCTCAGCAGCTTCTATCCGAATTCTTTTTTCCTTCAGAATTGAATCAATTTCTCTCAGAGATCGTTCAAGTTCTTCAACTCTTTCTTCTCCATCATATCTTTCAATTCTTTCTATAATTTTTTTGAAAGAATTTCCTAAATCATATTCTTTCATTACTTGTTCTTTAAACGAATTGAAATTAAACATAATATTATTTCCTTTTAATTCAATTCGTTGTGTTGCTGACATCTTAACAAAAAATCAAATTTTTAAAAGTTCTTTCTTATTCTTCTTAATAGGTTATTTTCATTGTTCTTTTTCTTTTTTGTTAGACTATTAGGTACTCTTTTCTTTTCATTTAATCAGCGAAATCCTGAATAAAACCATTTCCATACTTCAAATCATATCAATTTTTTATCCCGATAGAATCCCATAAAAAGAGAGATTCTTCTCCCTAATTTTAAACGGAACGTTGTTATTAAGAAATTAAAAGATCTCAACCCTTTCAAAAACAAAAAACAAAAAAATAAAGCAAACAACTAAAAACCAAGAGATGTCAAGTGAAGCACCAACAATCTCTATAACTATTCATGAAGCACGAAACTTACCTCAAAATAAAGGAAAACTTCTTGGATTCTATGTCCGATGTAAAAACAATTTCAATGGGAAAATTTTTCAAACATCAACAAAAGAAGGTACTAATACTCCTTCATGGAATGAAACATTTGAAATTAATGAAAGTAAAAAGATAAAAACTGAAAAAGAATTATATTTTCATGTATGGATGAATTCATTCTTCAAAGAATCTATTGGAACATTAACAATTCAAATAACAAAGAATAAGTTTGAAGATAAATGGTATGTATTAGAAGTAGATAAAAAATGGATTAAAGAAATTAATAAGGCAGAAATACGAATTAGCATTAACCAACTTAATTTTAAAGAAGAAGAACAAAAAGAAATAAAAAAAGAAAAAGATTCATCATTAATTATTAATGATAATGAAAACTTAAGTTTTGAAGAATTTAAATCCAAATATAATATAATTGGAAATAATGAATTAGGAGAAGGAGCATTTTCAATTGTAGTTCCAGGAGAAATAATTAAAACAAAAGAACGAGTTGCAATAAAAAAAATAACAAAAAAAGATATTCCAGAAGATCAATTAGAAATGGTTAAAAGAGAAATTCAATTAATGAGACAATTACATCATAAAAATATTGTAGAATTATTTGATGTGTATGAAAATAATGAAATATTATATCTTATATTAGAATATGTTGAAGGTGGAGAATTATATGATAGATTAGTTCAAGGAGTATTAAATGAAAGACAAGCTGCATGTGTATTATACCAATTAGTATCAGCAATAACTTATCTTCATAAAAATAATATAGCACATCGAGACCTTAAACCAGAAAATATATTATGTGTATATAAAAATAAATTGTATATTAAAATAGCTGATTTTGGATTATCAAAAGATTTTTCTACTTCATTACTTCAAACATGTTGTGGAACACCATCATATGTTGCTCCTGAAATTATTAAAGGAGAATGTTACACTTGTCAATGTGATATTTGGTCAATAGGAGTAATAACATATTTAGTTTTAAGTGGAAATTTACCATTTTATGATGAAAATGAAGAAATTATTTTTGATAAAATATTAGATGGACAATATGATTTTAGTTCAACTATATGGCAAACAATTAGTATTAAAGCAAAAGACTTTATTGTTAAATGTTTAAATGAAAATCCTAATGAAAGACCAACATCATTTGATTTACTTAAACATTCATGGTTATCTAATGCACAAGTTAGACTTGATACAGAAGAAGAAATGGGTGATGAAAATAATAAATTTATGTTTGAACAAGCATGTGGATATGTTGCAAAACAAGGAAAGACAATGGGTTAAAGAAAGTTCTTAATAACCTAAAAAAAAGATTAAAATTGATGAGTTAATCATCATATATTGTATAATTTTAATTGAATAAAAATAAAGTGAGGCTTTGGTTTTATAAAAATAAATAAATTAAAAACAAAAAGAACAGACAGGATGTGGTGGAATCTTTCTTCCTGCTTTTTGGTTTGGTTTAAAATTCATTCATTTACTCAATATTGTTATGGAGGTTCTGATAAATGTGTTGTTTTGTTTACATCCAATAAATGTAAAGAAAGATATGAACTAGATGGTTCTTGTCTTAATTGTATTAAAATGAGGTCAATTTTAAAGAAATATATTTATAAAATGGAACAAATGTCAATGGCTCGTTCAATTAGTTTCGAAAACAAATTAGTTTCTTTCTAATTTAATTCAAATAAAATGGAGAATATAAGATATTAGATAATAATAAATTGAGTTATATTGATTATGCCTCTTGTTCATTTCTATATAATAAATATCCTTTATCTCAACAGCTTGCAAATTAATATGTCTTCATTTCAATTAAATAAAATTATTGTTATTTCAATAAAAAGAAAAGTTATAACAATTTAGAATCTAATCCATTTTTTATATTGAATCTACTAATTCATTAACAAACAAGTCATCTCTTTACTGTTTTACAAGAACAAAACTATCTAATGAATCAGCTTCAATTTCAATTTCTAGTACTTATAATATTATTCCATTTATTTATCTTTATTTTTCTATTAATAGTTATTCAATTCAATTTAAAGTATTGTTTCTGAACAATTAAATAATAGTATTATTCATTCTTTTTAATTTTTTGAAAATCACTCAAATGCATTATTCAATCATACTTTACATTTGATTTATTGAAACAAAGTTAATAAAAATTGTATTAATTACAATATTAATGAATGGAGAGTTTAGTCTTTGATTCACTGCATAATGACAAAGATCTTTTTCTTATTGAAATAATTCCTTTAACAGAAAAATGTATAAATATTTAGTTTGGTAAACAATATTCTTTTGATACCTTAAATAATCTACGTGGTTTATTTATTTCTTTAAGTGTATCTCTTTCTTTAAAAAGAAGAGCATTTTTTATGGACCAAAAAGTTATTTATACCACCCAATAATAACATTTAAAGTTATTTGTCTTAGTCGTGGTAATCAAAAATATGGAAATGGATATTGTTCTAAATTTGATGGTGTATTCTAATAAAAGTTTTTTGAAGAAGTGGTTGTCATAAGAAATAGTATAATAATTAATGGACATTAGGAAATGGAGAATGTCTTTGTTATTTTGGTAAACTTCAGTGTAATGAATTTTGTATTTGTGACGAATTATATATTAGTTTTGACCATTATTATATTATACAAACATGTTTAGATAAAATAAAAGATTCATAATATTGGAATTAAATGTACTAGAGGTAATTCACAATAGTTAAATAACTATTTAAGTAAAAAATGAATAAACTATATTTTATCATTTGAATAGATAAAAAAATGAATGTGGAAATGGAAAAAATAGATGTAAGAAAAGAATGTGAGTCAGTACTAAATTGTAATATTTATTGTAAATGTAATGAATGACATATTAAAGATACAATAAAAATAAATGTAATAATATTTATTAGAATGGAGGATATATATATAATTATATAAAATGGAATTATTTTATTATATTATTCTATCATCTCATTACATTTTCATTCTAAAAGAAAAGATATTAATGAATATATTCAACAACAACCAATGTATTTTCTTAATCTTACTCATTCTACAAGTTTAGATATATTTGGTTCTAAAACATTAATTAAATACTGTCTTCATCCTTATAAATTGGATTTTGGAAATAGAACTAATCCTACAAAAATTCATAAAACTCGTTTTCAATCTATTAAAATATAAAATAAATCAAAAACAAATGGACAATAGTAATGTTTCATACTGTAATACTCCTAAATTTATTATTCATTTTGAACTACAAGTAATTTCTTCATCCCTTTATAACTCAATTAAAATTAAAATTTCTTTAACAATTAATTATCCAACAAAAATAACAAATACAAAAAATCCATTTACTGATTGGTTTTCTTCTTCAAAAAAGAATTTACAAGTAGATTGAATTATTATTAAAAAAATAAAACAATTGAAACATGGAATCAAAATAATCAATGAACTTTTTTATTATTTACATTCAATTTTAATTAGATATCAAGTAATTTAATAATTAAAACTGATACTAAACCATCGTTATCATTATTGATGAATTAAATATTAATAATATTATATATGTGAAATCAAGTCATGTCCATAATTATATTAGATATTATTGTACTGTTCTTTGTTTTCTTAAACAATATCGACAATCAGATTATTCTCAACAACAATGCGAATTATTAAAATATGAAATTAATTTCTAATACATAACATTAAGTAAATTAAGAAATACATTTACTGTTAACTTTATTGACTCACTTAATTACACTAAAGATATTTACATTATTACTCAATGCTTTAAATCAAGTCCCTTAAGTCAATTTATTCAAAATGACTCAAAAGAAATTATATTAAAATTACCATTTAAATTAAAAGCTAAAATAATGAAAGACATTACTAAAGAATTACAATTTCTTCATTATAATAATGTTCTTAGTCTCAACTTAAATTAACATTTTATTAAATTCTTTATTTGACATATCAAACTATTATGTCAAAGTTACTGATTATTGTTTATCACCAAAATTAATGACAACTAGAGAAGTACTAAATCAATCAAATATTTGGTATAATACATCAGAAATTTTTGAACATTATTTTTATAAACAAAATGATTTTTTTTCTTTTGTTGAGAACACTTTTTCAACAAAATCATTTCAACAAAAATTTCAATTATTAAAAAATCAAAAAAAGAATTCCTAGCTCTCTTCGTCCTAACTATGTAATACAACTCCACTTCCTTTAAAAAATCTCATTCAATATCGTTAGAAACAAATTTGTACTGAACTTCTTTCTTTTAATTTTGTGGTTAACTGTCTTATCTCTATCTTTCATACTCCTAACAATTATGAAATATTAAATAAAGAGATTGATTGTACTTCACTGTCTGATTTTATAATGAAAAACAACAACTAAGTGTTAAAATGAATGTTCATTAAAATATTTGTATTTATAGAACGGTTTCATATTTTTTTAATATTCTAATTTATTCGAACATTAAAAAAGAACTGAGTTTAAACTAAAATTTAGTATGCGTTCCATTCTATTTACTTTTCTTCTTATTTCAGTCTGTTCTGCTTTTAAAGCATGGGTAATCACTGATAGTCATTTTGATCGTGAATACACTGTGGGAGCATATTCAAGATGTAATGAAATGGATTGTTGTCATGACTACTCTATTCCAAAGAAAGGTAAAGAAGATTTTATCTCTGGACAGTGTGGAGATTACAACTGTTATCCACCACTTAATGTTAGTCAATCAGCATTTGATTTTATTTATCAACATAGAAATGAATCTACAACAGTTTTTTGGATGATGGATACTTTACCTGCTACTTTTTTAAAACAATCTAAAGAAAGAAATGTTTATCATATTAAAACTCAAACTATGGAATTACAAAAAAGATTACCTGGATTTAAAGTTTTTCCTGCTCCTGGAAATCATGATTACTTTAAACATTCTGAATGGCAATTTCCTCCTGAAAGTCAATGGATGTTAGATATTATGATTGATTTATTTAAACCATGGTTATCTGATAGTTCTTTAGAAACTTTTAGAAAGGGTGGATATTATACTGAATTAATTGATTCTGGAATGCGTTTAATATCATTAAATATGGCATATTTAGATGTTTATGGAATTCATTCTCAAGAATATCCTGCTAAAGATCCAGGAAATATGGTTGCATGGCTTAATTCAACTCTTAAAGAAGCAAAAGAAAATAAAGAACGAGTTGTTCTTATTTTCCATGAACCAATTGGATTAAAGTCAAGTGGTGCAGTAACTGTTCATCCCAAATTTAATCAAGATTTCAATCATATGATGACTTTATATGGAGATATTATCATTACAATTCTTACTGGTCATGAACATCTTGCAGCTGTAAGACTACTTCCTTCTTATGAAAATCCAACATTTAGTGTTATAGGAAATCCTGCTTGTACTTCAAGAACTAATTTAGACCCAAGATTCCGTTTAGTGGAATTTGATATTCAAAGTCTTATTGGATGGAAAGAGTATAAACTTGATATTGAAAAATGTAATTCAAATGGTAAATTTGATTGGGAATATGATTATGATACCAAATCATTATTTGGTTTCAATAGACTTTCCTTACAAGATACAAAAGAATTTATTCGAAAATTAGAAAAGGACGATTCTTTCTTTGATAAATACAGAATGCATTGTGGATTCCATAACGGAAAAGAATATCCTGGTAATTCTCGTCATGCTTTCATTTGCTCATTAATATCATTAACTGAAACCCAATATCTTGAATGTGTCAGAAACGGACCAATTCAATAAGAAAGAAAAAAATTGAAAGTGGCTTCATTAACCAACAATCATTTTGGTTTTAATATTTTATTATTTCTTTTGAATCATTTGATTAACTAATGAAATAAAATCATTTATTTGAGAAGTTTTTGTATTCCATTCGAGGTATTGTACTTTTATTTTATCTTGTGAAATTATACGTAATACTGATTTAATTTCTTCATTTGAAATAGCATGAGGTAATTCACTATTCATTGCAATGACAATCATCTTTCTACATACAAGATAATGACTAATATTTTTCCATTCTTCAAAATTTTTAAATTCTTCAAAATTTTTTATATTTGATATATCAAATGCTAATACAAAAACATCAGGTTGAAAATAAAGAAATGGTGATAATTGAAATGAATTTGGTCTTACTTTTGTTGGTTGTATTTTACCTAATGGTAACCAAATTTGATATGATTTGTCATCAGTATAATGCCATTTAACATCACTACTTTCCATGATTGATAATTCACCATTTGCTTTATTTAAGAATGGCATTAAATCAACAGAACAACATGCAGCACAAGTTATTTTAATAATAGTATTTAATTTCTCTACAACTAATTTAACAACTGAGTTTTGTACATCTTCATAATCTTGAGATAGTGAAATGATTGAATCTAAACTACCAAGAGCAATATCAATATCATTTTCATCTCTCAAATATTGAACATATCTCTCAAACTCATTTTCTAAATCATCTTGTTTTTGAAGTTGATGATAATGAATAGCTAATGCAATCATAGATGGAGAGTATAATAAAGGGACATATGATAGATACATCATTTTCATATCATCAATTGCATTTCTAATATAATCTTCTTTAATTCTTAATCTTCCTTCTTTTTCTTCATAAAATTCATTTAATAAAACATTTTCTTTTTTTATATTATCTTCTTCCATTAATGTATTAAGTTCTGTATTCTTCCAATCAACCATCATTTGCATAAATCCATAAAAAGGTTCAATAGCATTAAATTTACCAAGTTCAAAATGAAGAACTTCCATTATTACTGGTTCATATACTCTAGCATAATAAATAAGTTCTTGTAATGAAATTTTAAGTAATTTTGATTCAAAAATTTTAGTACATAAAAATTGAATAGTAATATCTTGTTCTCCTTCAAATCTAAATTCCTCTAATTTCTTTCCAAAACAAAAACAAGCAATCATAATAAATCTTGGATGAAATAATTGTGGTGATTGAATTATATAAAAATGTTTATATAATAATAAACAAGAATAAAATACATTTAATGGTAATTTAATTTTTTTTTGAATTGAAAACATTTGTTTAGCATAATAATCTACTATTACTTCACATTCTCCAGTACTAAGTAATTGTCCTGCTTTCTTATTAATCCTTTCAAATTGTTGATGAACTGAATCAGGACTTTCAAAAATCCAATTTTTACGTTGTGTTGATTGACGATAACTCATTAAATACTTTTTTTTTGTTCTATTTTCAAAAACAAAAATTAATATTTGAAAAACAAAAATTTTCATTTAATTAATATTAAAGAAATTTAATCTTGTTGTTTGGGTGTTATTTTGAATGGATGAATATGAAGATATTTAGAGAAATAATAAATAACATTAATAACTAATGCTGATTCCCAAAAGAATGAATGACCAAAATATATAGCTGCAAATATATTTACAATATTTCTTCTTCCCATAAAATAACTAATATTTATTATAAATGAAATAATTATAGTTCCATAAAAATTAATATAAAGAGGTGGAGATGGTAAATGTAATAATCGAGTAACTATATACCATTGTACAAACATTCCTACAAAACATACACTTCCTACAAGTCGAAGTTGATCACAAATAAAATTATCAATATGAATATAATTAATAGAAAGTGCTACAAGAGAAGTAGCTATAAATGAACTTAATTCTAATAATGGTTTATTCCATCCTTTTTTATTCTTTTTTATTTCATTTTTAACATCAATAATTGAAGAAATAATAGTACATCCTAAAATAATTGTTGCAAAAATCATTAAAAACATTGGCATAGGAAGAATACCAAATATTGTTGCTTGATTAACAATTTCTGGTGTCCATCCATTGATTGTTCTAATAATTTCAATTCCTAAATATAAATGAACCATTTCAATTGGATTTGATGCTGGTCCAAAAATCATCCATCCTGTTTGATGTTGTACCCAATGTGGTAAATAAAAAATAGTAAATCCAATAAAATAAATATATGCAGTTTGGAATTGATCTAACATAAATTCATGACAAAGAATAATTGCTAATGTTCCCATTACAAGAACATCTACTCCATGATCCATTAACTCTCCAAGTGGAGAACCACTTCCAGTTTTTCGTGCTTGCTTACCATCAAGAGTATCAAATAATACATACATATAAAATAAAAGACCAATAATAAGATGTGTAAATGATCCAAATATATTACTTAAATAAACAGTAAATAGTGCTAATACAATAAATATTCCACCGCTTGTTGTAATTACATTTGGTGCAACCCATTTTGGTACCAAATGATTCATAACTGGATTGATAATAAAATCTTGATAAAAATATTTCCCTACAATAGAATTATCAATAGCTTGATATTTATATTCTTTTAATGTTTCAAGTGATTTCTCTGGAAAGAATGGACATTTTAAACTAAAATCATGTACAAAATTTAAAATTGAGTTCATTTCTTTTTATTCTTTTTCAGTTCATCTTACTTTAATATGAATGAAACAGGACTTTTTCAACATGCCTTTTTTGGTTGTGGAGGTTTCTATTTTTCAATTTAATATTTATTTATTCTTATTATTATTATTGTAATTTCTATATTTTTGTTTTTATTTTAAACTATTCTATTAATTTATTTTGATTGTTTTTTAATTCTCTTTAAAAAAATTCAAAGATATTAGAATAATTATTTGTTGTTTCTCATTCTTTTTAGAGGGTTGAAGAGAAATAGTTAAATTAGTACAACTGAACAAAGAGAATTCTAGAAAAACTAAAATAAGATGGGTAATGAGAGTCATTGAAGATATCACTATTAAGGCCAACTGTGTCTATATATCCCCTATTTAATTGTTCTCCAGAGGCTGACCCAATATAACTTTTATCTTCTCCTCGAATATGGAACCCATATCCAACCCCAAATATCCAACTATTTTGAATATCACGATGAATAATTAATTGGTTTTCATTTTTTAGATTTTGTTTAAAACGAGTAGGTGGAACATTAAAAGGATTTTTCAAAGTAAACATGAAATGTTTTTTATCATCACAAAGAATAGAAGACTGTCTTTTTGGTATGACAGAATGGTATGAACCAAAGACACTACCATTGGTTGTACAAATAACTGTGATTATATTTATTCTGCCTTGAAGAGTTCTCCATACTTGTTTTGTTGATAATTCTTGATTTTCTGAGTTGTAAATAATACAAAACTTATTAGCATGACACCACTGAAGTAGGATACTAGCCATTGTCTTATCTGAATTCTCTTCAAAAAAAATAGTATTAGGAGAATAAACTTGTCTATGAAGATTTTCGACAATTTTCATAAAAATGTTTTTCTTTCGTTCTTCTTCGTTTTTTGTTTCATCCATTCTTATAGTTTTATTACTTAAAAACATTAAACTCATTTATTATGTTGTTGCAGAGATTGTTTTATATGTTTGTCCCTTCACTTCATTTAGAGTCTGAGAAGTCTAACCGAAAAGATAATAAAAAAGAAATAGAATGATTAAATGAATGATTACTAGTAAATTATATTAAAGGAATATTAAATAAAAGTTGAGAAAAGAAGTTTGGTTTGAGAGAAAACGAACCCTAAAACAAAGGAAAAAGAACTTAAAATTGGAAGGCTAAGTAGAAATGGTCAAGTATTGCACTAAGCCTGTTAATGTAGCTAAAGCAGCTCAAGCACGTGGTGATAACCTTAAAGTTCACTTTAAAAATACTTATGAAACAGCTGATGCTATTAGAGGAATGAAAGTTGCTCGTGCACAAGAATTTCTTAAAAATGTTATTATTAAGAAAGAAATTGTTCCATTCAGAAAACACAATGGAGGAGTTGGACGTAAAGCTCAATGCAAAGGATTAAATTGTGCATTTGGAAGATGGCCAGTCAAATCAGCACAATTCATTCTTAAACTTCTTAAGAATGCTGTTGATAATGCTAAAGCAAAAGGTCTTAATACAGCTCTTTTAACTGTTAGTCATATTGCTGTTCAAGAAGCTCGTTCATCAAGAAGAAGACTTTATAGAGCACATGGAAGTATTAACTCCTTTTCTAGCAGCCCATGCCATATTGAAATTATTTTAACTGAAAAAGAAAAGAAAGTTGCTAAACCAACTGAAGGAATTAAAGGAAAAAAATCTGTTCATCAAACAGTTTCCTACGTTCTCAATTAAATAAAAATGAATTTTAATTATAAAATTCTTGACAGGGTGTGCATTATTTTTCTTTTTTTATTTAAAACTACAAAGTTAACATAATAAGTTTTAATTTATATCCTTGAATTAGAATAAAGAACATTCATCATTTGTAAAATAAAAGTAGTGTTGAATACACCTCAGAATTAATCCAGGTTGATATCCAAAAAATTTATACCAATAATAGGCAAATGGAATAACAATAATTTGTGAATCCATTCTATCAAACATCCCACCCATTCCTGGTAACATACTTCCAAAGTCTTTTACATCTAATTGTCGTTTTAAGCAACTTGCAATTAAATCACCAGCAATACCTGATAAATATATTAATATAATAAAGATTAAGTTATCTTGAGCAAGTAATCCAATTATAATCAACACAAATAACCCTCCTAAATACCCTTCAATAGATTTATTTGGTGAAAGAAAAGTAAATGGTTTATGTTTACCAAATATTCTTCCAAATGCCCATTGCCAAATATCATTATTACATGTAAGGAAAATTATATACATCAATGGCATAGTCGTTCCAGTTATATATGGGATGGCTATAGAAAATGATAACATGTGAATAGACCAATAAGCTGCAAAGAACAATTTTGTGCTTTTAATAAGGTCATGAGTTTTCAATGAATAACATGAATAAACAATAAAAGAAATGAATGGGAACATCTCGAAACTTAACTGATAATCAATAATAAGCAATATATGATCAAAAACAAATAACCCATACCCAATGTATTTTTCAACCGTTGAGGCACGGAAAACATTATTTAATTCATGAAACATTAGAAAACTTAGTACAGCTTCTAATATATGAAAGATATGAACACCTAAATATATTGGAACAACAGCAATAAGAGCAAATATAGTTCCTGTTATAATTCTTTGTTTTTTGTTAATCTCACTTTTGGTAATTTTTTCAGATTCATGTTGTGATATAGCTTTAGTAGGTGCATCACCATCAGTCATTTGTAAATATAAAATTTAGTTTTAATAAGTTCTATGGAATTTAGTCTTACTTTTTACAAAAATTCTATTCCCAATTGACTAATAATCCATTTAATAAAAAGACCTATATAAAATAGTTTATTTTATTCACAAAAAAGAACAATATTAACTTCAAAATGACATTCTATTTTCGGATTTCTTCACATTAAAATTTTTATATAATTAAGTGATACTAGATATATTTTCGTGATTTTAATACAATCTTGTAATTACTTGTCATTATTACCACTTTTAATAAACAGAATTATCAGTAAGAAAAATACAGGTAATGGAAGAAGTCATGGACACTATTATCGAACAAACAACCATATCAAATAAATTATTCCAAAGGCAAAAGGAACTTGAAAAGCAAAGGTTAATAATTGAAAAGCTAACAAGTTTTGTTGCTGAAACCATCAACATTAAAAATATGAAAGAAAAGCCTCAGACACAAGAGAAGAACGAAGAAATGAAGCCTGAAGAATAAGTTTACTATGATTTTTGAAGAAATTTTTTTATCAAAAAATTATTGACACAATCTTAAAAATTGTATTAAGTAAACATGAAAAGATAATTATAATATTTTTTTCATTACATCTATTATTTATTGATA